AAACCAAAAGAAAAATAATAATGTTGATTCACTGATTCACTGTTAGTCTACACTCACCTACAATGTCTACAATTTCGCGTCACTGTTGTCCTGAAATTGAGTGGACCTCGTTCTGTAAGCCCATCTTGCATTTGTACTTATGAGCAACGCTTCACAGACAATGCCATCCCATGTTTTACCTTGCTTGGGATCACTGACTGTACTTATCCTCTCATAGCTATTATTTACAGGTGCATTCCGCCGGATGACTGAAGAGTCCATTTGTGTCCCACTTACGCCTTGCTGACATCTTGAAATACAGGCAAAATACTGGAATCCACCCATGCATTGTAATACCTATCAGAAGGTCTAAAATTAAGTTCTGGCCGTTGCTTCAACAACTCACCAATGGCCGGGTTGATAGCTGGGGAAAGCGATGCTTTCTGCTCAGTGTGAGCATCTTCCCTGGTTCTAGCCATGACTACCTCACTTAATATGATGGGACGGGGAAAGGGTCTCCCCATGAAGTCCACTTTGGGGACTGGAAATAATGATGGTGTCTGTCCCAGCCTCTGCCTCCATAAGAATATTAAAGGTGTTTATTTCACTTTAATAGAGTCCCCTAAGATTTACCATACACCTGTTGCTACAAAACAGTTGCTCACAAACAGGAAGTTTCAATTCTGCCCTGAGTTTCTACATTCATCTGCCTTCCTCCTCGCCTGATGCCCCATGTACACATGCGTACATGCTGTATTTTCCAACTCTGTTGAGTCTCAGTTTGGGCATTTAGAGCTAAATATGAATACGGAGTTTCTTGGAGCTTTCCGGGCTACAAAAGAAGCCATGGCTATCAAAATCATCCTTTCAAGACCACATCAATGGTGTTAAGCCGTGAAGATATTTCAGACACAAAATTCACAGTGCTCACAAGTGAAAATAAGTTGAAATAAATGTAGTTTAAAAATGACACATGTAAAAGTGTTTGGAAAGAACCAGAGAAAGTTGGAGCTGGCAGAACCTAACATGTGTCACTGGGCAGATCCCTTCTGGACTGAATAGCAATCTATTTGATGTCTGTTTGCAATCAGAGGGTCTGATGCATTAAGGATTTGCTGTTGCCATTTTTAAAAATCTTAGTAAATTTAGCAAAAAACTCCCTTCACTTTTTACACACACACACATACTCTCTCTCTCTCTCTCTCTCTCTCTCTCTCTCTCTCTCTCTCTCTCTCTCTCTCTACACACACACACACACACACACACACAATGGAGCCATTTTATCCATTTGAGCAGCCACAGGAGAGACTCCCTTAAGAGATGAGCAGGGGATGGTCACTTATTCTCAGCACTTTCAACAGCTAGGAGTCTCTGCATTAACCATAGCTGAGAGTTTATGGATACTATGGGTAAAAACATGAAGGTTTAGAAGGCAGGTTGACACCATGTCCTTTTAGCAAAACAATAGTAGGTGCTCCCTCCCACCCCTCCGAAGGCCTATGACCTCCCAGCCTTTGACTACTGACCAAATTTACAGCCCCAGCCATGAATTCCTCCTCTGGAGCAGACTTAAAGAAATCTAATCAGAAATGGTCGGTTACCCCCATAACAGTCACAACACCCACAGGGCACATCCTGTCTGACAGTTGGTACTGTAGTTCCTATGACACAGGGCTGTGTGAACTGTTAATGACTCTTCTCTCCCAGATGTCTGCAAAGCATCGCTGGGCCCTTGGAAAGCTACCCAGCAGAAGGGAAGCTTCCAACCCAGTTCTGGCTTGATGGGTTCATATCCTGCAACCAAAGCTTTCATCAATAGAGTCTTGTCATGTGGATCTGCTGGGAAGCTAGAGAGCAGCAACAGCCACTCTTTGGGGGCTTCCCTGACCAACAATTCATATGGTGGTGGCCCACATCTGGCACTAAGACTTTTTTGTTTAATAGCCTATGACTTCTGAGAGCTATACAGAGTACCTCCCTTCAACTTATTTTTAATTATATATTTTAATTAACTTACAGAAGAGTGAGATTCCATATGGCTATTTTTAGGTGTTTTTTATTTTGTTTAACCCACAGAAACTCCTCATCTCTGCCATCCATGCAACAATAGCATCTATTAAATCTTCCTACTACCCATACTCTCCCACCACACTTTGAAATTCCAGGAGTTCTGCTGTCCTTGTCCAAGAAAGGCCTTCTACAACACTGCCCCCCCAACTGCTAGCTTCCTGGCCTCAACAGGCACTCCAAATTAGACACAGAAATCTAAAACTCGAAAGTGAAGATTTCCATATGAGCAATAGCATGAAGTGTTTGTCTTTCTAACTCTGGGTTATCACCCTCAATATATTTTCAAGTTCCATCCATTTTCCTGCAAATTTCATTTTTTTAGTGTTGAACAAAATCCCATAAATTGTGTGTGCCACATTTTTATTATCCATTCATCAGCTGATGACTACCTAGGTTGATTCCATTTTTTTTTAATCTACAGTGAGTAGGGCATCAACGAACAGGTATCTCCATAGTGAGTTAACATCAACACTATCATGAATTGTCAACATAAAAGACAGAGAGCAAGAAGTATATGCAAAGTGTCTGTTTCAGATATAATACAAGTTTTCAAAAATGCTTGGCAGTGATAAGACAGAATATATTTTAAATGGGATGATTTGTTGGGGGGTTTTGTGGAGGAAAACGGGAACTTGTAAATAAAAATTTGGAGGTGATAGTCAACATTGAAAACTCAGAACTCTGTACCCGAAATCTGGTTTCTCATCCTGGCAGTGGCACAAATGGATATGTGACCTTGAGCCATCGACCTCTTCCCTCTGGGCCTCAGTCTCTTCAAAATAAAAGCCTTGCAAGGGGTATTATATTACACGTGATACACATAACACAGAATAAAATGGATTTGCCAAGTGAATTGTAATATATCTAATTACATAAACCTAACATCCTTCTCTACATTAAGTGCAGAAGTGGCTTATAAAACAATATGAGCTATAAAGCCTTAAATTTGCAGATGTATTTTTGCAAAGAGGAAATAGAAATGGCATTTAATGGATTCCAAAATAACTATAGTTATCCTCTGGATAGTTAGCTGTCTTTTTAGTTTCCAGATTCACTACAATTAGCATAAATGCTTCATTAGTGAGTCATACTCACATTAAATATTAATTTTTATGATACATCAGATTAAATGATCTCTAAAGATTATAGTGGCCCTGAGGATTTCATTACTCTATATGTGTTTTCAATTAACAATGTCCCTTTCCCAAGGAGATGGTAGTATTACTTTAGCTGTTTTATTAATACAGATCAATATCTCAAGATTCCCTTTGTTTTAAGCCTATAAAAACAAGTTATCAGGAAAATCTCAATAATATGGAATGTATTTCAGCCATTTGACTCTCTGTTTTTTTAAAACTCATAGGAGGTACAAGAAAAACTTGTGAATTCAAATGAAAGTTCTCTTGGCTGTTTCTCAACATGATTTGGTTATTATTCATATACTTTGGTCCCTACAGAAGTTTTTTTTTCATATGAAATATAGCTAAACACTCAAAAATTATTCATAATTTTCTTTCATTTTTGTTTCTTCTGAGTCTGGTCTAGTCATGTCTCTATTTTTGGTCAATCACTGTTTTCAAAATCATTCAAGAAGTATTCATGTTGTCTCCTGCAAATGTGTTTCAAGATGATAAGTTGCTAGGCTGAAAATAAGTTTTGTGCATCACAGAGAAGAGGATATCTTAAGTGCCAGGCAGTGCAAGATTCGGGGTACAGACTGACAGATTCCAGGGGAGGTTCTAAACATAGGACAGTTCTTATCAGACAAGTGACAGGAGCAAACGGTGCTTTATAGCAAGACAGACATGGCCAAGGGTTATGTGTCGTAGGCTTCACAGAGCAGTGAGAGGAAGGTGTGAGCCAGGATCTGTGCCAAACACCTCAACACCGTTGTTCATTTCATCCTCCCAGTTAAGGAGGTACAACACTGTGGAGTCATTCTTCACATGACAAGGAACCGAGGCTCAGAGGTACCAAGTGGCTGCTTCAAGGACAAACAACGGATCAGAATCAGAGCTGTACTAGGGATCTGGATCACCTTCAAAGTTCATGTCTCTAATCATTTTTCTCAGCAGCCCACAAGCATCAAAGACCAGAGAAGCAAGTGGCAGTAAAGAAAGACAATCATGCTGGGTGGTGGCCGTGCACGCCTTTAATCCCAGCACTCAGGAGGCAGAGGCAGGTGGATCTCTGTGAGTTCAAGCCCAGCTGATCTAGAGCAAGTTCCAGGACAGGATCCAAAGCTACAGAGAAACCTTGTCTCAAAAAATGGGGGAAATAAAAGAGTTACAAAAATATGCCTCTCTCCTCAAAATAAGCACAATAGTGTAGAATGGGTGGATGGATGGATGGATGGATGGATGGATGGATGGATGGATGGATGGATGGATGGGTGGGTGGGTGGGTGGGTGGATCTCTACCCCTAATACAGTCCAGCCCTCTTCTCTTTAGCACACTTGGTCCTGACAAATGCAAACATTCTCCCTTATTAAGTCTTCATATGGCCTCAAACATGATCTAGTATTTGCTTATTATCCTGAGGCTAGAGATATGCAAACACCAAGCTAAGTGATATATGACTTAGATCTACACCCAGCCTTCTTAACTGTTTCTTGAACATCCCATTCTAGTTTCTTTTGTATTTTTTTACTTTTTTATTTGAATTAGAAACAAACTTGTTTTACATGTCAACCCCAGTTCCCTCCACCTCCCCTCCTCCCCTGCCCCCACTGACCTCCTATCCCACTCCCTTTCTGGAGAGTGAGGCCTTCCATGGGGGATCTTCAAAGTTTGCCATATCATTTGGAGCAGGGCCTAGGCCCTCCATGGTGTGTCTAGGCTGAGAGAGCATCCCTCTATGTGGAGTGGACCCCCAAAGTCGGACCCACAGAGGCAGCTGACCTAAACAAGGGGGAGCTCATGGACCCCAGACTGATGAACGTGGGTGTCAGTGGGACCCACAGAGGCAGCTGACCTAAACAAGGGGGAGCTCACGGACCCCAGACTGATGAACCTGGGTGTCAGTGGGAGGACCTCTGGCAAGGATCAGTATTTATCCCATTGCAGTTTCTTACTCTCTCTTCAAACAGTGTCAGAGCAACAAGGATATAGTCACTCTAATCACAAATTCATTACATATTTAAATTTTGCCCCTGACGGAATGTTTTCCGAGCATGAACAATGTGTCTTCTTCATTTCTTGATCCAGGCATATGTTGGGATACAGTAGGTGCTCACTCACAATGTGCTTCTCTGAGCCTATAGCTAAGAAACAACAATAAAACCTACCATTAGCATCTTGGTACAAAAAGACTGGAGCCTTCATTCAAGAATATAAGAAACAAATGTGGGTCAGCTGACCCCACTCATAGAACTGACTCTAAAATAATTGATAGAGGGCCGGGCATTGGTGGTGCACGCCTTTAATCCCAGCACAGAGGCAGAGGCAGGTGGATCTACAGAGCGGGTTCCAGGACAGCCTCCAAAACAATACAGAGAAACCCTGTCTCAAAAAACCAAAATAATAATAATAATAATAATAATTGATAGAGGAATTAAAAGTGTCCAACTCACAGAGTTAATATAATAATCCAAGCATGAAGGCACTTAGGATAAAGACCACCATATGGCGAGCATTGAATTCTGACTTCTTCAGTAGGTCAAGACCTTTAAAAGTGAATGAAGGAATACTTAATCTTCACAAGGTATTTTTGATCAGAGTGTTCTACCTCTTTGAAGTGTAGAAAGCTACTATACAAGTAGAGGCATTATTACCAATATTGATGTGATCATACTCTCCAGATGCTAAACTCTAGATTCTCTTTATCAGCTATAACCTATGTGGCCTCATAGGCTTGGTGGTAACTTGTCCATTGAAAAAGAGGACAGGCAAACCCTTACAGCTGTCTATATCACATGCTGGATGTTTGGAAAATGCCAATTCTGGACCGGTTTCTTCATTTTTACCCTTGAAATCCTTCTGTGGTTGTTAGTCACCATGTCATTCTGCTTTTGTTTTTCTCACAGAGATTTCCTGGGAACCAAGGAGGCATCACTGTTGCTGATGGCCATGTTCCTCCTTGCCGTGTTCTACCATGGACAGCAGGTAATGCCATGTTTTTCTCCAGCTACCCACAGCTAGCTGGCATTTCCTTATGCCATGAAACACCACCCTGCTTAGACTTCTCTGTTCTTGTAGCAAATGCCTCTTGCCAGCTTTAATAAATTGATTCCTAATAAAACCATCTAATGGAAAGATAAGCAGGAGAAGATGACTTGATAGACTGCTTCTAATGGCCTCTGAGCCCCTCTATTTCAAAAACACCATTATTCGTTAAAAAAAGAAAAGGTTAATTCCTGGCTGAAACAAACTGGTGTCTTTCCAAATCCCATGGCCTAAGAGAAGGGGTATGCTGCTGCAGGGAAACATATAGGTTTGCAGATCAGCTGACTCAGTCGCAGGCACTCTCCTCAGCCAACTAAAGCCTTGGACAAGCTCTTAACTCTCTGAGGTTCAGTGCCCTCAACTCTAAAATAAAATATTAGTATATAAATAGATGGTGTTAAGGAAGCAAGTGATATTATCTTAAGCAGCTTTTTTGGTCTGTCATGTATGCAAACAAGCAAATAAGTACAGATTAGTCACCTTTCTCAGAGTTGTAACCAAGTACCCTCCCCAAATAAAGCAAATTTAAAAAGGAAAGATTTATCCTGGCTCACAGGTTAAGAAAGGACTCGGTGCAGCACAGGAAGAAAGGCATGATAACTGGTCACATTGTGTCCCAAAATGCAAGCAGAAAGCAGACAGGAAGTGATATCGAGATGTAGACCTCAGTGGCCTACTTAATCCACAAGACTCCATCAACCTCCCAAGGGCCATTGCCAGTGGGGACTCAGTGTTCAAATTCATGAAGCTGTAATGGACAATTCAAACCACAACAGCATAGGAAGAACGTATTTGGTGACTTGTTCTGAGTAAACAGCATGTCTGCCATGTTGATTCTACTCACTCTGAGGCTCTATTAATTATTAGGATGTGGAATATAGAATTCTATCCCTGTGTCTCTTGGAAGATGATAGACCACAAACTATGCAAAGGTGTTATATGTAGAACATGCTTAACTAGGGTTATAAATCATGCAAAAGTGTTGCACATAGAACATGATTACCCTGGTTCTTCATGAGATGAAATTTCTCTGCCTAGGAGCACTATGGTTGGCTTCATCCAATAGATCTTGACTGATGTGCTCTTCCCAGGGAAGGCTATTTCTCTGGTTTCCAGCACTCCTTAGTTGCCTCTAGTTCTTTATATGGGATTGAGGCCCCATGGACTTTGCCCACTTTAGCATGTCTACTATGAAGAAAGAAAGAAAAGAAAAAAGATTATTATAACCTCAAAAAGACTAAAAGCAATTATAAAAAAGTTAAAAGCATGTAAGACTTCTTGAGACATACTGCAACCCATAAACACAATCTGCTGGTGAGAGTTCCAGTCCCCTGTAGGAACTGCCAGCCTTGCTGCTGTGCTCTGGATCCTGGTTCATGTTTCTTTTGTCCATGCTCACTTCAAACAGACAAGAACAGAAAGAGCAAATCAAAAAAGTGTCAGCCATAGCATGTAGCAGAGACATAGCTCTGGGAAATCACCATGGAAACACAGGGGTCAACAAACCCCAGGAGATCAGAGATGAAAAAATTTTTAAAGTTCCAAGAATTCAGAGATACACACATGAAGCTATTTGTAACAAGTTGAGAGGGGGTCAAAATGTAATCAAGAGAGGGATGAGTAGTGTAACATCTTGGTAAGTAGAGGAAATGGGCAATTAATTGTTGAGTTCCTAGTGGACACCTCACTCACTTTGCTTAATGCTGTCAACAACCTGGAATGGGAGCCTCTCCAGCAACAGCGCTGAGCAGTACAACCAGAGTTCCAATCAAGTCTCTCTCCAAAGCGCATCTTCCTCCTTCTGACCAGGGGAACTCAGTGTGATTTTGAATTGTTTTTACATCTCTGCTGAACTTACGTGAAAGTCCAGTCGTTTCCAGAATTCCTGTACCTAGGTCTCACTGGCTGTCTGTGAGCACAGAGTCCTGGCCTCTAAGTCTGCATGGTTTCCTTTAATGGGGAACTTCTTAGTCTGATAGACAAGTTAAAACAAATCATCCACCCATTCCCTTTTGAGAACTCTCAAGGCAGAATCAACTGAGACTAGCCTACAGGAAGGCTATATGTGCACTCAGGTCTTGATCTTAGTTGGGAAAAATCCCTACACATAGACAAGAGAACACACTCAGAGTGGGAGTCCCCATTTCATAATGACAAGTACGTTTCTTTCTCTTCCTTCCCCATAATGAATCTCCCTGTTCCCTGTCTGAGTCTCCTCCCTCACATGGTAGTCTTCTACCAAACTGACTCAATATATCCTATTCTGCATTTGTCCTGTAAGAGCGGAAAGCCTAATCATGGTAAGATGGTATGTAAGATAAGAGTATGGAAGTGCTTCCTACTGGCCTGGTAATTTGGGATATTTGATATTTTTCCATTTTATTTCTAATTTTTAAAGATCTTAAGTGCCCTATAACCATAGCAGCTGTAAGCATAGTCCCATATTCAAACCTCAACTCCACCATTAAAGATATCTGACCATGGACAATTTACTTTAAAAATAGATACGACAATAACAGGTTCTGTTTCACCGAGTTGATATAGCTTTATATCAGATGTAATCACAATATGTTTATCTCAGTGGTTTACACATATAATGCTTAATGACATTAGCAGCTTGAAAATAAACCTTTTACACAGACAGGGAAGTATTACTGTCCATCTGGTTCCAAGACAGGAGCAGGGAAGCAAGTCCTCGGAGACCACAAAGCTAAGGAGAAAAAAAGCCATAGGGAAATGAGAACACAAATGCCCCACAGTTCCTGGTTCCACTCAGTCTCTGCAATATGCCCTGCCTCCCATTATAGAGACAGCATTCGGCAGGATTGCATCATTTGATGTCTATCTATAGCATCCAGTGGGGTCCTGTTCATCCTGGTTACAGCTTGCCCACTCCTGGACTTGCTTCCTGTTTCTCCTCATGACTCAGAGGCTCTCTATTTTTAATAAAGAATGAAAAATGCCCATTGATGCCTGGTGCACAGCAGTGTCTGGGGGTTGGGGGGGCGTTGATTGTGTAATTATAATCCCCAGAGTGCAGAGATGGTTATGCAACTGAATAATTGGGAAATTTCATTTTGCGAGAACGTGAAATGATATGCCAAACATTTCCTCCTCCTTTGACTAAGGCAGGTGAGTGATCAGAACATCGGACAGGCAGAGAGAGAGATCAAATGCCTCCCACCTCATGCCTGATTCACTGGCAGCCTCGGGAGTTTGAGCTCTGCCTGGGCATGTCCTTTGCCAGCAGAGGAAGCTACAATTAAGGATAGAAAAGGAGATTAATGAGGTCACCTTTCTGCTCACTCACTCCTGTATCTGGCTCCAGAGACTATCTGAAAGAGTCAAGTCTTGGAGCCTAATGCGCTTGCATGAGTCCCAGCAATGTCACTCAGAGGGTACGTGGTCTTGAGAACACTCAGCTTACACACACACACACACACACACACACACACACACACACACACACACACCCTCATCTGTTAAAATGCTGCGTGATGGAATGAGGTCGAATACATATGAAGTGCTTGGAACAGCTCCTGATCCAAGACAAGGCTCCATCAATATTAGCTGTCATGGGACTAGCCCGGCACAAAGACAAGAACTCTGTGTGCAGCCAGGTTTGATGGAAATTGGGGGGTGTGCATTCTACTTCAACTGATACTTTGGGGCAAATGCTTAAGAGTCTTCTCCTTTAATAGCCATGCCATGTCTTGCATATGCTCCGCTGTCCCTCCGTGTCTGTGCTAACCAGCGACACTCAGCCGAGCTCCTCCTTTTTGGTGTCCTCCAGCCACCACTCGGTTATGAGTAAATGAAGCCAGGCGGAGACTGTGTTTCCCTCATTTTGCAATCAAGCAAGTACTGGATGTGATAAGCTGTGAGCTAAGGAGGAGTCATAACCTGTGAAGATAGTATTACTGACACCTACCTTCTGGGACTTGCTTTACCAGAAGTGTAGGCTGTACTGGGCCAGCACATGTCTTTGCAGCCCTGCCTTAGACACAACTACCTGCTATGGCCAGGCTGAAAACTCAGCTGCTCTTGTCTAGCTGGAAAATATCGGCTTAGGTCTGGCCTTCTGGATTTCCCTGCTCTTGTTTCTGATTCAAATTCAGTTCAATGAAGACTCTTCAATAGGAGAGCTGAAGAAATTATTCTATATATCAGCCTAGTATGCATGGGGGGGGGTTTGAGACGGGGTTTCTCTGTGTAGCAGCATTGGAGAGTGTCCTAGAACTCACTCTGTAGACCAGGCTGGCCTGGAACTCACAGAGATCCGCTTGCCTCTGACTCCCGAGTGCTAGGATTAAAGGAGTTTGCCACCTAGTATGCATTTTCAAGAGAGGGGGTTGTGTTTAGAAATAAGGATAAGAAAATCCTGTTCTTTTGGCAAATCAAAACCTGCTGCTCTTGGGGCTGGAAGAAAAAAAATTCAAAACAAAAGTTTCATCTCACCTCATCCACAGATGCCTTGCATGACAGGAATGTCTTATGGATCTACACGTTCCACGTGTCAGAATGCTCTTGTATGCATCGTATCTGTTGTTCCCTACAAGAAATCCATGTCCTAATGCGTATCTCTTAAAGCAGGTACATCAGGACAATTATCCTGTTTATTAGAAAGAAGTCCTATTGTTGTACTTTAAGAAAAGCAGCATGTGAGAGAAAGCAGAGGAGTTTTTATTAGGGAAAAGGGGACTATAAAAAGGGGGAAGGGGAGGGGGGAGACAGGCCCCCTGCGACAGGAGCAGCAGGAGAGAGGAAAGAGAGGGAGAGAGAGAGAGAGAGAGAGAGAGAGAGAGAGAGAGAGGAGGAAGGGAGGGAGGGAGGAAGAGGAGGGAGGGAGGGAGGGAGAGAGGGAGAGATAGAGGGAGGGAAGGTAAGCAGGGCCCTTTTAAAAGGGAACATAGTGAATGTGCACAGGTGGTGCTCTTAGTGGCTGCAGCCAAGGGTATATCCTGTCAGAACCCTAAGGACAGGACAGATGCCCGAATACTAACACCTATGAGATGGATTACTTCAAGATTTGGAGGAGCAATTCGGAACAGCATTGTTTACTCCCTGCTGCCTCCACGTGCAGATGTGTTTTATTGTATGGAAAACTCAAATACACTCAGAAGTAAATAGCATAGTCCAATGAACTTCTGAAGACCTACCCACACACGCCCAGCCTGTTCTATCAGTATCTTCATGAATGCTGCCCACTGTCACTTCCCTCCAGCTATTTTGAAACTAATTTCACACATATACCCATTTCAATCTGCAAATATTTCAGCATATCTAAAAATGGTGAGCTTCTAAATTAATCACAGAGCCATTGGCACACTTTTAAAAAGAAAACAGAAGCTGACCAAGTCTGTCAAGCTACTAGGCTGTGTTTCCATTTATTAATGGACAGTTATTTTAAAGTATGCTTATTTGAATTGAGACCCAAAGTCTGTGTCCTGCCATTACATGATAAATCTCTTAAGACATTTTCGAATCTTTACAATCTCCCTCATCTTCTTTTTTCTTGAAATATTTTATAAGAGCCATCTGACTTTGGTAATGTCTCTCTGTCTTGTTAGTCAACTCATCCTCTAAGGATATGGAACATATTTCTCAGTTCTTTGTGTGTTTTCATTGATTGTTCTGTGTAGAGGCTTGGTGAGATCCATTTTCAGTATTTTGTGTAATGTTTAATTGGTTTCTTTACAAATTACTTCTAAGAGGTACTTCATATCTTTTCATCTCTGTTTTGACGATGTTGGCAGCTATTCATAATAGCCTATGTTCATTTATTTTACAGCGTGACACACTAATCTTATCAGCAGCCCATAATTTGTCAGATGGAGTACACTATAAAAGAGACTTTTCTCCTTGTGAGTTATGTGTCACCTACAAGTGTAACTCAAAAAGCAGAGCAGATGTAAAACTCTTTCCCTTTAGGTCTGCTCCATGCAAAGTTTGCCAGTAGGTTTAACCCTCAGCATCACTCCAGGTGATAGATGAGTTTGGTTCCTTCAGTCACTGTGAAATTATGTGCTTTTAGCTTCTTTCCTGTGGAATTTCAACTTGTCACATTGTCACCACTATGAATCCATTCAAGCTTCTGACGTAACCCAAAGTCTCCGACAGATTTGTTCAGAGCATGAATATGTGTCTTAAGCTTATGATTTCTCTGTCCTAAAATCTACCTGTTTCTG